TTGGTCAAAATTTTTTATACTTTAAAATGTTGATAGAAATTTCCCCCCCACTTGGTTTAGATCTAACAACACATTATAAGAGAGTTTTCCAATGAGATGGATCTGTATTTACAGTTTACACTACAAATGAAATTTTACAAATACAAACAGTGACTACCTCCAGAACACTTTGCCATGAAATAAATTAACTGCAATTACGCTAAACTGATATACACAAATACTACTTTTATTTAATTATACGGAATAATGCAAAAATCTTAAAAGTTTTAGAGCTGGAGACAAAAACTAATTTAAAATTAAGTTTTTATAGTGGCAGAAATACTTATTGATTCAGTACTCCTGAGGACAGAATGCTGTTTTGGCTCACAATATAAGCTCAATATTTATTTGTTGAGAAAATAAATTAGTCTCTACTCAAAAATCTATTGAATGTAATGAGCTATTTTCAAACTAGAAGTTAGTGAAAATTAAATTTATTAAAAGAAAAAGAAATTTGAATAGCAATACAGTTTAATGAATCCTTAATTTTAGAAATAAACTACTGTTTCTTACCTGGTAGGGTTGAAAGGCACTATCTTCAGTTAAAAATTCCAATTGTTTATCTACAAGGAATTCTACTGCAGTGAATGAACTAGGGACACTTTTTCCAACCAGGGCTTTGAAAGTCTGTTAAAAAAAAAAAAATTTTTTTTTTCAATGATTTTCGAGGTTGTATCTTCAAAATACAGAGATATATATAAATGCATTGGCTTTAGTTATAATGGCCTTATCATAATAAACATTAACTTTAATATTATAAAGTAACAATTTTAGCCAAATGATAAGACAATTATCCACTGAAAAGCAATAGAACAATATATGAACTATAAAAAAAATTCAGCATAGTAAATCCTAAACGGTTTTTTTTTAAAGGCAGATCCAATCAAATATATACACACACATATATAAAAAATATTAACATGAGATGCCTTTTAAAAACATAAACAAGGCTTGGATAACATATCTATATATTTACCCAGCTGCTGTTTTTTTTCATACCTTGAGTATTCCTTCTAAAACTGAGTAGTCATGGCTAAAATAACACTACTTTTTTTCTAGCTCATTCACAAGAAACAGGATTTTAAATGATCAGGATGCATCTGGTCTTTTAACTCCACCCCTTGTTCTTCCCACCCCCGCCCCTGCCCCAAGCACAAATAAAAATCCAGCTGCTTCAGTAAGAGAGCACTAGTGGGGGAAGGGAACAGGAAGAAAACAGGGAGTTATGAGGTACAACACAGCCCAAGTTTCTCCTTGTCTTATTACCATTTCCCTCCCTTTCAAGTGAATGTAAGGTCATTTGATTTTTTCCCCCTCCAAAGATTTCTCTCCCCCTCCCAAAAGGTATTACTCATGGTGGGAGAAGAGGGTGAGCAGAGGAGGAAGAAAGAAGAAAATACAATTCCAACTACACTTAATTTTTAAGAAAGCCTGAATGTCTTATATAGAACATAAACACAGAAACAAAATTCCACCATCTTAGATAGTGACCTAACTAGAAAATAATCAAAGTTGGGGAAAGAGCATCTAAATTACCAACACTTTTTTGCCTAAAAGAACCATTTGGATACAAATCAAAGCTGCTGGCACAGACAGTAAAAACCCCCAGGAGTTCCAAAGCCATTGTGTTTTCTCCATTTCTGTGTCTTAAGGAAATGGAACTTCTTGCTAATCACAACTAATAAACACACTGGGGGAAGAGGGTAAATGTTAGTAACTGGCTCTCTCAGACTTAATTTCTGTATTTAAGAAAGTCTTCCTGAAAAACTAAATTCGGCTCTTTGCAGAGTTTTTTTAATAGTATATTCTGAAAAGATTTAGGATAAATAAGTAGAAAAGCTTTATTTCTAAACTATACCATAAAATGAAACAGATTCATTTTTAAAATAATGTACAGAAAAATCTAATCACAGTAACAACCTTTATCCTAGGCCAACCTCTTAAATAGTAGCACACAAAAATTCTTATTCTTTGGTTAACAAATTACATTAAAAAACAGAAGCCTTCATATTATTTATTAGCTGTCTCCAACCACTACTGTCACCTAACATTTCCCATTGATGAAGACAAACTCCTAAAATTAGCATTTGTATAATTTGAATTATTTTATCTAGCAAGTAACTAAAACTCTGATATTTTATTTAGGTTTTAAAATGCCTCTCTCTATATGACTAATCTATGTAACATGAAGTATGAATTCAGCTATTATCTACAATAAACAATCTTTTCTCACATTTTAATCTCAATTTTTAATTTTTTTTGTAAATGGAAAACACTGGCATGTTCTCAAGAGGGCTTTTAATCACTGAACTTTATTAAATCCTCTCTTTCAAACAGTACCTCGTTATTTGGGTCAACTCCTGAAGGTTAACAGAAAGGTCCACAAAAGATACTATCTAAGTGGCTAGAGATAAAATTCAATTAAGTAGAATTTGAAAAAGAAATAAACTTTTCTAGCCTGAGTGCCTCTTTCTTATACAAATAATACAAGTGGCTTGCATTTCCTATGAGAGACCTAGTAATTTTATAATTAAAAAGGATTCTGAAGAGATTCTCTACTTTTTAATGTTAAGTCAGAATTTTAAAGATACTTTTGTGGTTAAAAAAGTAACATTTCAAGTTGGTAGAATTGAGACATCTTAAGAATAAAGAGAGTAATTAATAATGATAATTAATTTTAAGAACACCAATTTCTGATACTTGAACACTTAAAAATTTATCTAAAAAGAACATTGTTTCTTAATAGCAAATATAAAAGCCAGAACTTAAGATATGGTATTTAAACTACAAGTATGTTCTAACTAAGTATAGATAAACACTTTTACAGTACTCCCTAAAGAAATGTTTCAACATGTATTAAAGCAGCAAACTGAAAACGTGTGACTGATCTCACTGAAAAATTCAAGGAAGGCAACATATTAAAGAATCTAGTTGCAATACATCTTGATATTTTTAAAAGTAATAAAGTATTCCATTTCTGTACACAGTAGAGCACATTTCAAAATACTATCTTAACATTTTAAAATACTTATTCAAGCAAAAGCAAATGGTTGCTGTAACTTTAAAAAATAATCTGTAGTAAATGTAAGTATTTCACAGGCCTAAGAGCACTGAAATGAAAAGAAACTAGAACTCATGCATAACTAAGTAATTCAAGATTTTAAAGATGTATCTTTCTAAGAGGAACTTCTACAGCCTAAGGGGAAGCAATGAACTGCCATCTGATGAGAGTCACAGTAGAACATGGCCCTAATCACAAAAAGGCTATTATTCAAATGCTGAAGGAAGTCTTTGAATTTCCAAGTGAAAATTGCCATTTAAAGAGAATATTCATACATATACTTTCAGTAATAATTCTTTAAGGTCTTTTGTCAGTGTTATCCATACTTTAAAAATAGTCTATACCAAAATAAAGAGTTAAAGAGGCTGCATTTTTAGTAGGGCCTACCAAGCCATAGGAAGAATGCTTAGAACAACTGTATCCTGTTTGAGGCTCCATGCTGCACCACATTCCATTCACATGAGGAAGAGGCCAACAGATGAGCCCTCCCCGAAAAAAACATTTTTAAAATAAATCAGCTACAGCTCTCAAACACAACTCAGCTGCTCAAACAAACCATGTTAAAGCTCACCACTGAACAGGAAATTCAAGGAGTTTATGTTAGCAGTCTGAGTTTCTAACAATCTCCAGTTAACATTTAATAATTCATTTTCCAAGTAAAAATTCAGACTCATTAACTAAAATATGCCAAAATAAACCTAGCTATATGAAAACAATGAAGCAGGAAACAATCTAAATAACATTTTAGAAGTCAAGGTTTTGTATACTTAAAAAAAAAAAAACAACAAAAAACAGAAAACCACAAGTAAAAGGACTGAAGTGACCTGAAAGAACAAAGTCCAAATTCCCACCCAATCAAGTCTATTGAAAAACACTATGCTGTTAGAAAACAAGTTGGGGGGTGGGGAAGGGAATATAACACTCAAACCCCCTCAAAAAACATCCCCCTTCCCTGGAAATATAGTAAAAAATCACAAATCTGAAAAGGTTTTTGACGTAACACTTTAAATTGTTAAACTCTTTTCTAAAATACTAATTTTTTACAAGGTTATGAAATTATTATACACACAATAAAGCTTTCAAGCAAATAGAAGTTAAAAATTCCTAAAACTAAGCACTGAGCCTCGATCTTAAAAAAGCAGTGGGCTTGATTCTTAAGGCTGAGAAACAAAACCAAATGTAAATTAGGACAAAAGAAAAAGGAAGCAGAAAAAATACAAACCGTACTTTGTTCTTGAGAATTTGAAAGTATCCTTAAATCTCAGAAATCCACGACACAGATTTAAAGGTCAAGAAGTGTAAGTGACGAGTCCATTTTTTCCCCCTCAAGCAGTATTTTATTTTTTAAATCTATCATAAATTCTTCTTTAGTCTTCAAAAACGGTAAAACCCAAGCATTTCTGAGCTCACTTGCAGCGTCGACATTGTATAATAAGAAAAGCCAAGACCACAGAACGAAGCAAAAGCTGTAACCTAACAAGTCTCCGACGAGCAAATGACGATTTTCTGTCTGCTCCGGTTCAGCGCTGGCAGTGATGAGGATTACAACTCGCTCTTTGTCATCAGCACTGTGGTGTTAACGACTAAGAAATCCTGCAGCTGAAGCACTACTGCATCCTCCGATCTGGGTCAGGATAATTTCTCCCGAGGTCGCTTACATAACCAGTAAGATACTCCAAATAGAGAGAACAGCCATCCATCAAGCTAGAGAAAACCTTTCCCACTGTACTCTGTGTAGAAACACACTGCAGTAGCTTCCAAGAGTGCAGACACCCAAATGAGAACTGAGTACTTGGCTTAGGACACACTGAGAGAAGGGAAGAGGCGGTGCTCTGTAAACTGTAACTAATCCCCCGTCACAGGTGCTGATGGAGTCACTTCCAGCACGAGTCACATTACTAGTGATTACTCATTTGGCTGCGGCCATAGAGACAGGCTCATAATTTTAACTACAGACAAAGACAGACTAGTGGTGAGACTGAGAGCTTAAGTTTACTGTCTCCTACATAAAGGAAATGAAAATGCAATGTCTTTGCTGTTCATATTTCCCAAGGTGGAAGAGTGAAGAAAACAAGTAAGTATCTCTCAAGTGGGTAAAAATAAAGAATAGCTTTAAAACATCAGAAATATTTTTAGTGTGTTTCAAGCAGAAAGTTTTCGGTTTAACCATTTTCTCTAGAAAATATACTGGTATAAAAATCAAGGAAAAACAATGTAAATATTTTTTTTATATAACTGAAACAGAAGGACATAACCAACAATCTCAAATGCATTTTAGTAAAAATAAAAACAAACCAGTATTTATTTTGGTCTTAAAAATGTCACTTCTGAAATATCTTCAATCTTAATAAAAATAATTTAATCTAGATAGATCACAGTCTGTAAGTTAAAACAAGGAAATATTTTTCTGATATTTAATATACGCTCTTAACACCTAACTACAGAGTTGTGCTCTCCAGTATATAACTAGTATTTGGCTTAAAATGAGATTTGTCCGAACAAGATGTGTGTTGTACGTGGAAAACACAAACAAACATAGGAAGGACATGTAAAAGATCTCTCATCT